AAAAAAAAAAAAAAAAAAGGTAGAAAACTCTGAGAGAATCCAGGGCTGAGAGTGTAGCTAGACAAAAGTATCCAGGAACAGAGTCCCTACCTGAAGGGAGCAATCATGTTGGTACGGAATGGGGAGCGAGAGCACAGTGAAGACTTCGTTCTTGTAGGTGCAGTTGTCACACTTTAAACACGTGATGCTGTAACTGAGCTGCCCTTCAAACAGCCGGGTGATGATGGACGTCTCGCTGGTAATTACCTTCTTGCAGCGTCTCTGTGTAGATCTTTTCTCATATGCTCTTCTTCGGTGGTACTAGATCAAGGAACAGATCCCCCCCAGATCAACGATTGGTTCTCAAAAAAAAGTTTTTAATAGAATGACTGATTTTTTAAAAAATCTATCAGGATGCTACACTACCACCAGAAACCACTTAGTTTGGGGTTCAGACAATTCATAGAGTAAGATCTTCTTGAAAGTATACATCATGTATAATTTCTTATAATACCGAAATTTCCCTTTTTTAAGTGAAGTTGAGGAATGAAGACATCCTAACTCTGGTAAAACGCACGTCTGTGGTCCCATAAGCTGACAACCTACTGACACTGTGGTGTAGGGCCCTGGAGCTAGTTCTGTTACCCAGACTGGAGTGCAGTGGCCGCTCCCGGCGATGCTTCCGCCTCAGCCTTCCAAGTAGCCAGAATTACAGGCATGCACTACCACGCCCAGCTGATTTTTTGATTTATTGTAGAGATGAGGTCTTGCTGCCCAGGCCGTTCTTGAATCTGTGGGCTCATGCAATCCACTCACCTCAGCCTCCCAAAGTGCTGGGATTACAGGCTGAGCCACCGAGCCCAGCTCTGGAGCTAGTTTCCAAGAGAGTAAGTGAGCTGTTCAACCAGCTTCAGGTCATGCAAGCAGATCTAGAGGTAAAATGAAGGAATCCCATCTTTCCTCCCACCAGTCCCTTCAGTTATGCTTCCTACTCTTTTCTCCTTTCATTTAAAGAAAATATTTATTTAGTTAGTTAAGGCCTCGCTCCGTCGTCCAGGCTGGAATGCAATGGCACAATCATGGCTCGCTGCAGCCTTGACCTCCTGGGCTCAGGTAATCCTCCTTCCTCAGCTTCCTGAATAGTTGGGACTGCAGGTGTGAGCCACCATGCCCAGCTTTCTTTCTTTCTTTCTTTCTTTCTTTTCTTTTTTTGTTTTTTAAGAGAGGAAGTCTAACTATGTTGCCAAGTCTGGGGAAACACTTTTAAAAAAGAGTGAGTCTTATATTCCTAAGGCAGCCCGATTGAACTAGCCTCGTGGCCTGGCTTGAATCTAGCTCATACTCAGGAACAGCCATTTGTGGAGCACTCTGAATGTTCGGGGATTTTGGAGCCTCAGTGGAATATGCATTTTTAAGATGCTTCACTCCACAGCCGGCTCTAATGGAGCTATGCTCACCAATCCAGTTTGGCTTGCTGCTTTCATCACGCTGTTTGCTGCCAAGGTCTTCCACCCTGACGATAATTTGATGCCCCTAATTCCTAGTTTAGTCCTGGGAACTAGAATGCGGTTTATTTCAGATTGACCACAGATGCGGACACAGGGATTTTTGCTGACCACCACCCTCTCCTCTGGCTAAAAAAAAGTGCTTCCATGAATATCTTGTTATTACTAAAAATGAAAAGGGAACTAAGGATTGCAAATGGGAATGATTAATGGCTATAGTTTATGATCATTCTGCTGGCCATTTCCTGGATATTAGGTGTGCAGTGAGGTAACATTGGCACAAGGACATGCATAAAGTCAATGACGTGTCTTCTCTCTGAAGATAAATGTGTGGGTCTCAAACCAAGACTAAGGACAATGAGTTTTGTAAATGAAAGCAAAACCTCCAGAGGAAGTGGTGATTTCATATTTAATTAAAGGTATGTCCTAATCTAATAAAGAACTCAGGTTAGGCATGCTTCGTATGAAGATGAAATTTTGCAGTGCATAGCTCTGTCCCTTAATCCAATACTAAGCTTAATATATTCATGGATTTGTAGGTGCCAAGAAAAGTTAAAGTTCTACATGTCATTTCCCATGAAGAATATATTTTTATTTTAAGAATGTGGACTTCAGCCGGGCTCGGTGGCTCAGCCTGCAATCCCGCGCCTTTGGGAGGCTGAGGTGAGTGGATTACCTGAGCCCGCGGGTTCGAGACCCGCCTGGGCAGCGAGACCTCATCTCTACAATAAATCAAAAAATCAGCCGGGCATGGTAGCGCATGCCTGTAATTCCGGCTACTTGGAAGGCTGAGGTGGAAGGATCGCCGGAGCCCAGCAGGTCGAGGTTGCGGTGGCCGGGAGCGGCCACTGCACTCCAGTCTGGGCGACAGAGTGAGACTCCAACTCAAAAAAAAAAAGAACGTGGACTTCACTTTTAAAGACTAGGCAGGGTGCAGTAGCTCAGCCTGTAATCCCAGCACTTTGGGAAGCCGGAGGTGAAAGGATTGCCTGAGTCCGGGGGTTCCAGACCAAGCTGGGCAACTTGGTGAGACTTCATCTCTACAATAAATCACAAAAACTACCCGGGCACAGTGGCGTGCATCTGTAGTTCTGGCTACTTGGAAGGCTGAGGTGGAAGGACTGCCTGAGCCCAGCAGGTTGAAGCTGCAGTGGCCATGAGTGTGCCACTGCACTCCCAGTCTGGTGACAAGAGTGAGACTCCAACTAAAAAAAAAAAAAACCTAGCCCATGTAGTTTACATTTTATTTTTATTTTTTGGAGACGGCTTCTTGCTATGTTGCCCAGGCTGGAGTACAGTGGCTATTCACAGGCTTCATCATAGCTCACTGCAGCCTCAAATTTCTGGGCCCAAGCAATCCTCCTGCCTCAGCCTCTGGGTAGCTGGGACTACAGGGGCGAGCCACATCATCTGGCTTCACGCAGCTTTTATTTGCAAAGGAAACTAGATTAGTGGTGTCCACACCTGGGTGATCACTGAACTGTGAAGTGAGCTTCTCAGAAGACAACCCTAAACATTCTAACTCAATACTGTAGTAAATGCCTTAGAATCTGTGTCATAAAATCTTCCCAGTGATTCTGATGATATGTAAGTTTGGTAAATACAGTTATACATTCAAATACTAACTTGAATATTCTCCCAGCACCCAGCACAGTGCTTAGCACAGTGTAGGTAGTATTGGCTGAATAAATTCAAGAGTAAAAAATGGAAGGTGCTGACAAAGCTGCAGGCCTACCCTATTTCAAGGTCATTATTCTACTCACCTTTTTCAGAGCTTCATGAAGTTCATTCAGGACATAGATCAAGAATTCTTGAGCATCTTGTTGTGTCTTTTTCAGAAAAGCTGGGCAGAGGTTGCCAAGTGTTGCCTGAAATAGTGCTGGTGAGACACAGTCTGTGTCTCCAAGCCACATGTCTGTCATCAGGTAGGCAAAAGCAGTGGCAACCTCGCTGCAATCCCTTGAAAGAAGGAAGGGGTGTGTTTCTGGCTGATTTAATGAAAAGAGTCACTGAAGCAGGGGGAATTGGTCCCGAAATGGAGCTTCCTTCATTTCCTAATTGCCCTTCTTGCTTTATTAAGAACTGTTACCTAGATCTACTTAGTTCTTAGACCTGCTTACCTGGATCTGTTGTCTGGGGAGCTACACCCTCTACTGACTTGTTTAGCCTTTAATGGGGACCCCAGAAAGTCCCTTCCCTAACCTCACCTGTAAGGAACTGGGAGGGGGCTGGGCTGCGGGGATGCAAATAGTCTTACTTTTGAAGTGCCGCGATGTACTTTCCGGAGAGAAAGTATTCCACCAGCGGCGAGATGCTGCAGAGACACTGTAAGATGGCGTTCATGTAGCATGTGTTGCCCAAGTTCCGCAGGCCCGTCACGCCCTGGAAATGGGGCCGGTCCTCTTCAGCCTCCTTAACTGCAGGCAGAGCACCGTGGTCTGTGCACTCTGAGCTGTGTTGGTGCCACATGGGAAGAAAGTGTTTTGGGGGAACAAAATATGTACGGATGACAATAAGCCTTTCTCAACGTCAGGAAATGAAGAATTTTTGCCAAGACTTCCTTCGGACACATTTCCTACCAAGGGCAGAAGTATTGGCACTTGGAGTCTGGTACTCTGAACGAAGCCAAATACAATAGGAAAAATTTCTTCCGTAAACCGAAGTAAGACAACTGAAAATACCAGCCTCTCAGAGTCCCAGAATTGCTTGGTTAAAAGCGCAAACTTTCCCACTAAATACCAACTTTTTTTTTTCTGGGCGGTAATTGTCATTAGTAATAATAACAGTAGATAATAGTTAATAATAACAATAGCGATCATGTATTGAGCCTGCTAATATGTGAAGTACTTGCATTCTTCCATTAAATTATTTCAACAATTGTATGGGACAGGAAGAAATTTTTTTTTTTTTTTTTTTTGTAGTTGGAGTCTCACTCTGTCGCCCAGACTGGAGTGCAGTGGCCGCTCCCGGCCACCGCAGCCTCAACCTGCTGGGCTCCGGCGATCCTTCCGCCTCAGCCTTCCGAATAGCTGGAACTACAGGCGCGTGCTACCACGCTCAGCTCATTTTGATTTATTGTAAAGATGAGTCTCGCCAAGTGGCCCAGGCGGGTCTCGAACCCGCGGGCTCAGGCAATCCACTCACCTCAGCCTCCCAAAGGCGCAGGATTACAGGCGGAGCCACCAAGCCCGGCTAGGAACAATTATTTTTAAATCCCATTTTACAGATAAGATGTCAGGTTTAAGTGGTTACTAAGGGATGTGTGGTATGTACAAAAAAAGATATCTGTCCATCTACCTACTTCCCTCTCTATCATCTACCTATCAAGAGTTATTTGGGGCTGGGTGCGGTGACTCAAGCCTGTAATCCCAGCACTTTGGGAGGCTGAGGCAAGGATCGCCTAAGCCCAGGGGTTTGAGACCAACCTGGGCAACGTGATGAGACGTCATCTCCACAATAAATCAAAAAATTAGCAGGGTATGGTAGAGCGCGCCTGTAGCTCCAGCTACTCGGAAGGCTGAGGCGGAAGGATCGCCGGAGCCCAGCAGGCCGAGGCTGCGGTGGCCATGAGCATGCCACTGCACTCCAGCCTGGGCGACAGAGTGTAACTCCAACTCAAAAATAAAATAGTACACATATACGTATGTATGTGTGTACATAAATATGTAAATATACATATACACATACATAGGAGAGAGGAAGAACATAGACATTGTAAAAATACAGATCTTAGTTTAAATTCTGACGATGTCAATTACTAGGTATATGATCTGGTGCCTTTTTCTCATCTATTAAACGAGAATAATGTCATCTGCCTTATAATACTGTTGTGAGGATTATGCAGGTACAATACAAGGTGCTTGGCACAGATTACACAGTCAATAAATGGTAATTTTTTTTAAAGTTTAAAGGCACTGATCTGGGATGTCCTTTTCAGTAACCTGTAGAGTAGGGTGTTCACATGAGTTGGCCAGACACGTACAGAGAACGCTGGGGGCCTCCTCTAGCACAGAGCTTCCTTTTGTGATATTTTGCGTCTCATACCAGGCAGCCCAGTATCTTCGTTCTTTCTCATTTTTTCCTGCCCTGGATCTAAAACTGGGACTCCTCAAGACAGCTACCTCACCTCATACTTCCACTTACAGTTATGCCAGTTTGAAAAGTGTTCACTGTTTCACGAGTGGTCATTTTCACTTTTGCTTACTGATGTCATGGGAGGCTTTGGACTGTCACGCTTTAGGAGGTGCATGTACCTAGTGCTGAGATATTAGAGAGTATCTTCCTTTTGAGGGAACTCCCATGGGTCAGACCTGGGAGAACCCTTCTAAATGCAGCATGTATCCCTTGACCCCTTGAGCATGGCTCTCCCCCCAAAGCTTGTCCAGAAAGCTGTAGTAGGTAAAGACTCACAGGATATAGTAGACGCCGAAGTCATCTGCAGGGAAACACCGCTGAGAAGTCATCTTAATGGAACCACGCTGGGCTTTCACTTCTATTCAGTAGCGGCATCTAATCCTTTTAACTTCATTTCCCCAAGCCTGTTACTCGGTTTTTTGTTTTAAGCAAGTTACACACTCCTCCCCACTGCCATTAGCTGCAAGTTGAGTTTCACCTGTATCAGGCACCCTTCCAACCTGGATTTTTCCATACATCATAATCCTTCCCATTCACTCTCAAGGTTCTAGCATGTTGCCATGAAATACTGTTACTTGGTTGTTTGAAATGCCTTAGAAAGATTAGGCTTCGGAGAATGATCTGAGACTGGGCACAGTGGCTCACACCTATAATCCCAGCACTTTCAGTGGCCAAGACGGGAGGATCACTTTTAGGCCAGGAGTTTGAGACAAACCTGGGCAACATAGTAAGACCTTGTTTCCAAAAAAAATGTAAAAAACAAAACAAAACAGGCAAGGCTCAGTGGCTCAGTGGGAGGCCGAGGCGAGTGAATTGCCTGAGCCCGCGGGTTCGAGACCCACCCGGGCAACT